GTAATACACAACATGCTATAACAATTTTTGCAACCGTGTCAGGGTGGTAGTGCAACACCCGATGTACTAAGAGACACCTAAATCGGCCTTTTAAAACAGAGAAAGTCCTCTCTACTGTATTACGGGCTGTGGCATGCATCTTATTATAGTGCCCTTCCGGGGAGTTTTCTTCAGCACCCAGAATTGGTGTCATCATTATGGGCGTTGTGCATATCTAGAATCACCTGTAATCCAATTAACAATGAGTTTACTATTCCACCTTAAATGGCTTATATATTGACAGTGGAAAAGCAAGCAAGCAATCGCTTATACGCCACTTTGGTGTTGCTTAATATTGTACATAATTTCAGTTTTTATTCAATGTAAGTTGCAGCATGAAAGTGGCATATAAGCGACTTTGCTTTCCACTGTTAAATAATTTATTAGATATTATTCAAAAATTACCCAATAAAAACACAACTTCTTCAGAGTTAGTCAAATGCTCTCAGTGATTTTTTAGCTCACTGTTATTGAAAATGAAGCTGTCATGGCTAGCTCCACCAAATGAGGCATCTACATGCAAAATATTAGTAACAAAAAAATTAAGAAATATATTTCCAGTTTATATATATATATATATATATATATATATATATATATATATATATATATATATATATATATATATATATATATATATATATATATATATATATACATATCTATATCTATATCCATATTTATATATTTTTGTGTTCATGAATCATGACAAGTTTTAGAAAAGTAACAAATAGATGAAAACCTGTTAAAAGTGTACTTACTATTTGAACATTTCTTGCATGGTTACCTTTACGACAATAATACCGTTCCTCGTTTTCTTTCGGTCGTATCATGGTGACAAAGGTACCATCTATACAACCAACAACCCCGGGAATTTGAAATTTCTCAAAAAATCTGTAACAAAGGTAAAGTTAGTCCTGAATAGTTCAGTTAATATTTGCTACCTAGCTTTTCTATGATTTCACTACCTAAAATAGTTAGAACACTGGTCTTGTTGATTTACAATATAATATTGAACTCAATGGTCTACTATAAACATTCTTTATATACCTATTTGAGCAGAGTACTTGTTTAATTGTAGTTAATCAGAGTTTACTGACCGTCCCTTTAACGCTTGGCGTTGTGATGCATTTTGCGGAAATTTTATATATTTTTTTACTATGTCTGGATGACATACAATTGAGGCAATTTCATTTATATTTCTTGACATTGATGGCTGGGATAAATGTGTGTAAATATTCTTCCCTAGTATTCTTTGGTAACTTCCATTTGCAAAAAATGAAAGTGCACACAGTAGCTAAAACAACATATTTTTTTTATTAGTATACAACATAGTATTATGTATATATTGCTTGGGTTTATCGTGGTTATGTGTTTAAGGTACTCTACCTTGATTCTATTGGATAATCCCTTTCCTTTTCGCTTCGTGTCTACCAAATAAATGCTTACTTCATTTTCCAATTGTTTTATAAGTTCTTCGCTAAGTCTATAAGTGTTCACATAGTCATCTTCACGTGTGAACAAATCGAGATTACGAAGAAACTGGGCTTGTCGACGGCTTCTAGATACATCTATGTTATGAGCTTCCTTCAATATTAAGCATAAGGCAATAGAGTGGGCCATCTGAAAATATTAGGTAGACATGAGTTTTTGAATTAATAAATAAACAATAAGACCTACATTACAAATACTTACTTTTAAAGATATTATCTACTTCTTCTTTAAACAAAAATCGCAATTTATTAACAAACATTGAATGCCGCAGCTACGCACCATGTTACTTTGACACTTGAATAAAACAAAAACGAAACGAAAACCTTTGACATTAAAATTCGAGTGCGGATCCGAAAGTGAGTGTAAAATTCGTTACAGAATGCCATTAAACTTCAAATCCTTTTTTTTTTTTTTTTTTTTGAGTGTGTATGCTGTTGGTCGCAGATGACCTTTACAGCGTCACCGGGTTTGGGGACGGCGAGATCCTAAGGGGACCTCAAGCCGAGAATTGGCGAGTGCCTCTGGAGGTATTCCAGTCGGATGGCGTCTCCCCGGGGGGAGTCTCCACTCCGTCTGAAGCCTCCAGACCACTCGAACCTGAGGGGGTCGGCTCAACTAGAGGGCGTCTCTGAGACTCGGACCTCGGCTCTAGTTAGCCGTTGTCGTGGGGGGGCGGGGAAAAACGCCCCGGTACGTACCTGTACCTGGTATAGCGTGTCGTGTGTAGACCGGGTCTTCGCACTCTTATCCTACGGGTGCGGTGTCTGCCTAATGCTATGCTAGTGTGCACGTTTGCTAGCTGTGTAGTGTTGGTGTTTGTGGCCTGTGTGGGAGGAGTCGGAGGCGCGTTGGCGCGTGTGATTTCGTCGTCTAGGTAGTCTAAGACGTGCCTAGGCCGACGGAATCGGAGGGACCTACGATTGGAGGACGGGAGGGCGGACGTATGATAACTACTCGCTTTTATTACTAAGGGGTTCGGGTGATGCGCGGCTTTATCGAAGTAACGCCTCGAGGCGTCCTTCATATACTTCGCGATGGAGTCTAATTTGAGGTCGCGATGCAAATCGATGTTGCGCACGTACCACGGGCAACCCGTGACACCGCGCAACACACGATTTTGCAGCGTTTGGAGTGGTTTAAGACGCGACGGGGGTACGTGGGCGAAGCAAACACTCGCGTAGGTCATTATAGGGCGGATGCAAGTTTTGTAAATTGTCAACTTATGTCTAAGTGACAACTTACTACGCTTCCCTATAAGGTGGAATAGCCTGCCGCGAATGAATGCTGCGCGATCGCGAATTATCTTGAGATGAGGTGCAAACGTTAATCGGTTGTCTAACGTAACACCCAAGTACCTGACCCGGTCCTCCCAGGGGATGACCCGGTCAAACAGTTGGATGCTCGGAAGAGATCGCGTGGGAGGTGGTGTCGTGCTAAAGAGGATCGCGACGCTTTTTTCCGGATTAACCTCGATACGCCATCTACGGAACCAATCGCCAAGGGTGGTAGCGGCTGATTGAAGTCTATTACAGACTGTTCCGAGACGTCTATCGGAGGTATAGAGGGCGGTGTCGTCGGCGAAAAGCGCGAGATCGACCTTAGGAGTCTTGGGCATGTCGTTCGTAAAGACCGAGTAGAGGATAGGCGAGAGTGGCGAGCCCTGAGGGACTCCGGCGCGTATTGGACGAGGCGAGGAGAGCGTTCCTTCGACGCGATAGCGAAACGAGCGATTCGACAAAAAGTCCCGTATGATGAGCACGAGTCTATCCGGCACACCGAGTTTGTATAGCTTATAAATTAAGCCATTGTGCCAGACTTTGTCAAATGCTTTCGCCACGTCGAAGAAAAGCGCACCTGTGGGAATCGCGGAGGCTCGATATAGATCGCGGTAATGGAGGATGTGCTCCGTTAGGCGGTGCACCTGGTGGACACACGAGTGTTTGGGACGGAAACCAAACTGTTCGTTCATAATGAGGTTGTTCGTGAAGAGAAAATCTTTAAGGCGGCTAGCGAGGGCTCGTTCGTAGAGTTTCCCCAGTGTTTTGAGGAGACTAATAGGGCGGTAGCTAGAGGGTAAGGCGCCGTCCTTACCGGGTTTCCGGATCCCGATAACGACGGCCTCTTTCCACTCTGAGGGAAATATCGCGTTTGACATAGCCGCGTTAAAGATAGCAGTGATAAGGCAAAGGAGTTGGGCTGGTAAGATCTTAAGGACCTTACTAGAGATTCCGTCTGACCCGGGGGCGCTACGCGGGCGCAGTTTACGGATTAACGAATGCACCTCGTCTACTGTGACCGGCTCAAGTGTGGCGGTGGGCGGTACGGAGGAGGACTTTTCGACTTCCGAGTCGACTAACTGTACGTGTTCGAGGGGGACTGGGAGGGTGCTAGGCGAGCACTGCGCCTCCAAGCTGTCGGCCAGGCACTCGGCCTTTTCGTCGTCGTTAAACGCGATCGATCGGTCAGGTTTGGTCAGGGGAGGCATAGAGGATTCGACCTCTGACTTGAAGGATCTCGCCAGCTTCCAATAAGCTTGGTGTGATGGCGAGATCTCTTCAAGCAGTTCATCCCACTTAGATTCCCGCATTTCCTTCATGCGCGCCTTAACAGCACGCTGCAAGGCACGCAATCGGGAGCGGTTGTCGTCCGTGGGGTAGGTGTCGAATGCCCTAGTGGCGGCGTTCTTTGCCCTTATCAGCTCTCTAGCGTCGTCCGGTAGGTTGCAGCGATGGTCTGGCATCGCTGGAACCTGTCGGGACGCCTCGCTTATTGCGGAAGTGAGATGACTCGAGAGGGCTCCGATCGCAGAGAGGGTGTCCTGAGTGGAGTTTATGTGGTCGGGGATGGAGTTGAGTGGCGAGCTGGCGGAGGGTTCGAGTAGTTTCTCGATCCTCCTCCAGTTCGTCACTGTCCTTGAGGATGGTTCAAATCCTTGAGCATATTGTCAAGCTATATCCTGCGTTAGTTCATTTCACCGCCACTCTCGCCTAGTAGCGCTAGCGTTGATTCTCACTTGACTACAGAATGCCAATGATAAAATCCGACACGGATCCGCGCTCGAAAGTGAAATGTGTCTTTACAGAATGCCACTCCTGATCGCATATTTCTGAAATATTACTTCACACTCGGTGACACCATTTTGGTTCGCTCTGAGACTTCCCTTGTACGATCATATTTGTAGACATGGTGATATAAACTCAAAAGCTCTTCAAATGAAGAGATGCTCATCCTAAAATAACAGTAAAAAAATTATTAAAATTTAATATCTTTGAAGTTACAAGAAATTTGAATATAATTGAATGTTTATATAGATTGGAGCAAAGTAAAAAAAAATATTATAAACCACCCACCAATCCGCCCTGGGACCGCGTGGCAAGTCATGGCATTCCATAAAAAAGTATACTACCGACCAATCCGCATTGGCCTGAGTGCAGAATGGGCTCGGTGCGGAATGGGTCCAGCCCGGAATGGACCCAGAACAGAATGAGACCAGTATGAAATGGGCTCAGAATGAGTTTAATGGGGGTTGGGCCCTTTCCGCACCAAGTCCATTCTGTACTCAGCCCAATGCGGATTGGTCGGTAAGATACTTTTCCCCCTATGTCTTTATTGCCCAAAAGAACATAAATACAACTTTCGTACCCTTTGGCTTTAATGTACACACACATCCTAGAGCTTCGATTTCTTCCGTATGACTGAATAATGGGCGATTGTGTGTGCCCACGCAAGATAATCGGCACGCATCCCTGAGGTACCGACAATTTACCGATTACTCACGATTACAGGCGATGATGGCCACTCATGGACCGCTACACAATCGTGCGTAATCGCCCAACATAGGTCATTGTGCAGAGGTGCCATTAAAGTCGCGCATATTGTTAAGAGCTACTCTTAGTGACTTAGTGAATAGACGTATTGGCCACACTGCTGTTAGGTGCCCCAGTAGTTGCGTTATAATAATTCTTAGCTTATCAATAAGGAACATATAAGAATATGGCCTTCGAGAGTATTATGAAATAAACTAAGAAGTCCACTTTTTTTCTATTTTTGAGAATTTTAAGCATATTTAGCATTTTACTGTAATTAATCACTTGTTTCAGACAATTCAATCAGTTTAACGACTTGATGTCCCCAACAATGTGCCTGTATGTGCTATTATGTTCCATTACATTATGCTGCAGCGTTGTCCAGCTTATTTCGGTGAGTGACATCAAATAATATAATTATAACAAATCAACCAAAGGCAAAAAGAAAAAACATCTCTCTACAACTGCAGTGATTCTTCTTACTAAGGATTTTAAGTTAAATTCTGGTGAGAAATTATTCAATAGGCTGGTTATTTAATAGTTTTTTCGGATTAATTAATTTATTTCAATACGTAGCAAAATTTCCTTGTTAGTACAGGTTTTCCCCATAGATTAAAGAAAGCGGGCCATTAACATTGATACATAAATTATATTCCTTTAGTCGGCTATCGACCCTACTGAGGTCATCACCGTCACTGAGGCGCCTGCGGCAATCACTGATACCGCGCCTGCTGCCATCACCCCTCACTGCCAGTCATATTGTACTCTGGTGACCGCAAGCGGCGGCTTTCATCATATCCATTGCACTCCGTAACCATTAATAGGAACTTGACTGAGTGCCCGAGATGTTTATATATCTTTTGCTTTTGTAGTGACCTTTTTTAGATAAAATATCATTTAAAAAATGTCATATACCAGATCAGACCAGACTCAGAATGTTTTGCGACAAAAAGTTTTTATGTATAAGACACTAGCCACTTGTAATTATTATGAAAACTTCGATTATTTAAAAATAAAAATCCCACTGTTCGATATTCAAATTTCCCTCCGCATTTCTTCGAGACACAATTAAATTTTTCTTGTCTCATTAAAAATGGATCTGCATCGAGAACATTTTCGTGCAATGCGTTTTTAAGATTTTAAATTTGGCATAAAACCTGATGAGGCATTTGATCGATTTCAAACTGCTTTTATGGATGAAGGACCTTCAAAAACAACCATCTATCGCTGGTGTAGACGTGGTCGTCTTATTTTGGAGGATGAACATAGGAGAGGTCGTCCTACGACGGCTGTCACCGAAGGAAGTGTGCAGTAAAAAAAATAATTCAAGAAAACAGACGAATTACGTTAGAATAGATTCAGCATACTCTGCAAATTGGTTCAGGAAGTGTTCACAAGATTTTGCAGGAGCACCTTTGCGTAAGGAGGATAGTTTTCGGCTGGGTGCCACACAACCTCACCGAAGCTCAGAAGCAGACCCGTGTGGATTGGTGCAGTGATATGATACAAAAATTTGATGCAGGCGCGTCACGGCGCGTTTACGGTATTGTGACTAGTGGCGAATCCTGGATTTATAAATACGTGCATCGTATAGAAAGCGTCAGTCGACAGTTTGGCTGTTTCAAAATGAGCCAACGCCTACGAAAGTGAAGCGATCGAGGAGCGCAGGGTCAATTTTGATCGCTAGTTTCTTCACTATGACGAGGTACCTAATTTCAATTCCACTTCTAGTCCAAAACAGCATCAATGCCAAATGGTATAGCACAAAAAGCCTGCCAGAATGTTTTTCTGCAATGAGCAACAAGCGACCTAACACCGGGCTCCGCGGAGTCCTTCTTCACCACGACAACGCGCCCGCGCACTCTGCGATCAAAACGAAGGACTTCCTTACAGACCTGATTGGGCTCCGTGTGACTTCTTTTTATTTCCTAAAATAAAAAATCAGCTTAAAGGGATACAGTTTTTATCGCCGGAAGAAGCGCTAGCAGCGTTTGAGAAGGCCGTGGAAGAGGTATCTGGGGACAACTGGAATATTTTTTTGAAAATTGGTTCAGACGCATGAAACTTTGTATAGAGCTTTGTATATAGCTGGTGGGGAGTTCTTTTAAAAGATTTAATAAAAATATTTGTTTTCATAGAACTTACTTTTTTAGTTTCTCAAAACTTTCTGAGTGTCCCACGTATATGGTTCAACTTCATCTCTTACACTTCTTACTCCCATCATTTATGCATTTTCTTTTGTTTTCTATTTCTTTTCCTCTGTTCTTCCTTTCCTCTCTCACTTTAAATAAACCATCCTCCCCTCTCTTTCCCATCCATACGACTTCTCTGGCTGCATCTCTTTATCTTCGTAAATTTCTGTTTGATTGACCAAAATGAAAAAAATCGTATGTTTTGATAATCTAACTGACGGGCTACAAAGATTTTCGTTTTCTTTACTCCGTCGACAACCCTATTATTTGTAACATTGATATAAGTACATTCGTGTCTATACTTGTTGCAATTATGGTAAACCTATTAAATAAATAAATAAATGTCCAATACGATCCCATATGCTCTAGATGCCTTTTTTATAAATATTATAGGAGGCTTCCGAGCAGATGTCTGACCTGATGGTAAGTGATCACCGTATCACAAATGCGATGCCGTCCTTCAAGGAAGAAGTACACTTTTTTTTGAAGGTTTTCGAGTCGTATTGGTCCGGAAACACAGCCGGCGAAAATAGACACAGTAACAGTTTTGTCGTGCGTGGTAAAAATTTCGACAAAATCGCACTGTTGTGGAAAGCCACGCATAAAGATGATGGGGATGACATTTGCTGTACTATGGCGACAAACGGCTGCTGTTTTGTTATATTAAAACAATGCAAGCTAATTATTGCCAGTGGTTGAAGTCTTGATTAATCTTGGTTATATTGGCGAAGGAATACTAAAGTCAAGTCTTATTTTTTCAAAATTATTAAGGTTAATTATTAATGTTTGTCATAATATATAAAATAAATGCTGGCTCAATGTTATTCTTTCAGAAAGAAGCGACTGCATCCCAAAGACTGTGGATTGTCCAGTATTCCTCTGGGCAAATATTACAACTGTTCTTATTTTGCTGGCATGCCAACGAACTATTTCTCGAGGTGAATATATTTTTTATTTTGATATGAGTATGTTTTTTTTAATCTCAATCTCTACGTACATAATGTCTTTGTTTGTAGATTACTGTTTGATTTAGGAAGTTAAAGCCAAAGTTCCATTCTGGTCTGAATCTCGGAATGACAGAAAAATGTAGATAGATTAATGTTAATAACTACATTATTCACAGATCGTATCTGGTTTATTAATAAGTAGTATCCCGCCCTCGCTTCGCTTCGGTGTAGACTAGATTTTGCTCTCAGGCTTGTACTATACATATTATATACAAACCTTCCGTAAATAAATGTCTTACTGATAGTTAGCATTTTGTTACGTATTTTAGGACCCGGAGTACCGAATGCACCATTGTTTTTTCTGTTTAAAGTTTGTCCCCCTTACTATTAGTCTATGCCCTTATTATTAAACATATCTGAAATGAATTGAAATGAAAAATCTTTATTGGCCATCGAATATAAGAAACAGAGGAAAAAAAAATATAAAAAAGAAACTTAACCTAAGAACAAAAATGAATCTCTAGATTTAAAACGGCCAATCAGGACCCTGCCTCAGCTTATGCTGATACAATTAGAAAATATTCTCTCACTGTATCAGCGCTGGTATTCTGGCAGGGCCTGTTTGAGGACGTGTTAGGCGCAATAACAAACAAAATAACAGGTATATTTATTGTCGATTCTGGCGCGACTCTCCGAACCTATTCCGTAATATTTCTAACCAATCACTACTGGAAAAAAAACAGTATGAAAACGCGCGCTAAAATTTCATGGATTTCAAAAATATGAAAGGGTAAACACATAATAATATACCATAAATAGGATTCATATCATGGGTGTAGATAAAGTTTTGTATGCAACTGTTTACAATTAGGTATTAAGACACTCATGTGATACTATTTTCACACTCGTCTTCGCCTCGTGTTATAAACCCACATGCGTATTTGAATACCCACTCATTATACAACAGTTGCAAAAATAACCATTATATCTTGTCTCAGTGTGTTCATTATTAATAAACTAGACATGATCTGTGAATAATGTAGTTATTACCGTTAATCTATCCACATTTCTTCATTGAATTTTATTCATTAAAATTTAGCTGTATCTTGCTGTCTTGTCTGATATAAGATTTTTTGACACTTAGATGATTTATTGTTTTAAACTTTCATGGTCACAAATATTATAGTAATAAAAGTTATTTACGGGATTTTGCCAATGTACCCTGTTTGTAGGGAGTTTCCGCAAGTGCCTGTTGTCTGAAATCCTGTAGTTCGCATGTATAAAACCCGAAATAATCAATAAAGTGTCGTATCGCAATCCGATACTGTAATTGTTGTGTGTCGAGAACAGTTTCGAGTGAATAGAAAAGATTTTTTGACACTTAGATGATTTATTGTTTTAAACTTTCATGGTCACAAATATTATAGTAATAAAAGTTATTTACGGGATTTTGCCAATGTACCCTGTTTGTAGGGAGTTTCCGCAAGTGCCCGTTGTCTGAAATCCTGTGGTTCGCATGTATAAAACCCGAAATAATCAATAAAGTGTCGTATCGCAATCCGATACTGTAAGTGTTGTGTGTCGAGAACAGTTTCGAGTGAATAGTGAGAATGTGAACAGTGGTACGGGTATCGAACGCAATAAAAGACTTCGTCGGAGGGTAGACCGATATGTCTGCCAATAACAGCCTACCCGCAACTACTTCAGTTACTCCGTGATTATGACGCTTGCAACAATGCCGAAATATCGGAAACTCGCTAAAAACAAGGTATATGGTAACAATCCCGTAAGTAACTTATATTACTTTTAGATAATTGTTGGATGTACAAACAGCAATCGATTAAGTTACCCAAAACTGCTTCTTCGACTTTGAGCATAATGTCACTCGTTATACGATACACAATATATTGAGAAAATTTTACAGTTTCTGGAAGCTTGATATGTGGCTGTCTGTAATAAAGTTTTTCCTGCCAGAGTCAAAATATCGATGGAGGAGTTTATGCCAGTGACTGGTGGAAAGCAGACGTGCGAATGCGCAAGCAAATATTGCTATTGGCGGGTAAGGTGAACTATCCGATGCTGTTGAGAGCTGGACCATTATCAGTATTATCTTTGTCTACGTTTGTTAGTGTAAGTAAAGGCGTATTATGCTCCTCCCACATCTGCGCGACGAAGTTTCCGCTGGCTTTGGTGCTTTTTGCACTAAACTTCTAACTTAGCGACGTTTGAATTAGTTCTGTCGTAATAAATTAGCGAGGGCGTGTTAATATATGCTATATGATAGCTTGACAGGCGATAATTTGACACGCTTAAAGAGGTTCCGGAAAACGATAAATTTGCATGCGTGTATGTGTATCTGAAGAAGCGTACTTAATTCAAAGTTCGAACGCTATTTTGACGCATTTTAGTACCAAATCTACCCGAAACTTCGTCACGCAGATGTGGAATAATTTTCATTTTTGTTGTAAAATAGTGTCAATTTATCATACAATCCTACAGTCTCACCACTGACTCATTACAACAAACTCGTTTTGTTCATACATTTGCTCAACCAATTAGATATAGGTTTACCTCTTTTAGTAGTATTATTTCGGATTAAAATTTAAATGAACACGGCGACAGAAAAATAATATTATGAATCCCTTAAAAGTATGTTCTTCTTCACAAGGGGCATTCGGCTCTAAAGTTACAGTTTAGTTTCGGTTTTGAACATTACTTTACAATACTGCCTCCCTGACAAACGAGCATTCGCCTGTAATGTAAGATTTTAGATTAGATTTGTAATGAGGAAACGATTGTTTCATTACAGATTGCACATTGGAATGCTATGATGCTCGGTTTTCCTTCCTCACTGATATAATGCTACTGGTGAAGGAGTGCCGTAATGAAATTGCTAATAAAACTAGTGATGACGATATCAAAAACATCATCTGTACCCTAAAAGTTCACTTACGTACTTAATATAATATCGTGATCGTCATCGTCATCCATACCAGAATTAGCTGCATATTTTATTTTACCTACTTCAGCCAAATAATTATCTTTAACTTAACTCAATTTAAAAATTGAATGATTAATTGATTAGGTTTAATATTTCATTTAAGAACTTTGGTGCATGTACGACATGGTAAAGTTTAACATTATATTTTTGTTTTATAAGTGCGCCCTTCGACTCAATTTCGTTTCGGGTCTGTTTTACCTTTTAATTTGGTTTGCCAACGACTATTGCAACTAAACTAGTTTTATAATAAATAGGTACTTATTATAAATATACTATTAAACTAAGAATCATTAATGTACAATCAGTTTCAGACAAAAAAACATGCATTATAACATTTATTCAGTAATTAAATAGTATGAATATATTATTCATGTATGATGAGCCAATTTGATTCCTGACCCACCATATGCTTTGTTATTACCATTTCCGAACTTTGACACTTTTTAATTTTTTGTTTGATTGACAAAAGATAAGATAACTGTCCATAATTTTTTGATTATTTAATTAACGAACTAAATAGAATTTCATTTAGTTTACCATGTCTTCTTCCCTATTAAAAAAATATATTGTTTGATGTAAAGTGTGGCCATTTTCACTAATACAGCGATGTCAAAATGCAATTTAAAAAATATTAAAATTTGTATTACACTATGTCATAGTCACAGTCTACTTGAATAACAATTTCATGGAGGTAGATTAGAGATTCAGCAGGATATATATGTATTTTAAGACCGTTGATGCTGGTGATCTTAAATGAAATAAAATAAACACGATTTTCTAAAAACGCTTAATTTTTCATTAGCTTCTGATTCACTTTTTGCTAAAAATATAACAAATCAAAATAAAAATTTCTTTTTTTTCCAGATCATAAAGAGATCATACAGTTTCTTCACTTTGATTTCACGAATGCAGGAATAACCATTTTTTTCTTTCATACACTTTATTAGAAATATAATTACCTAGCTTACTGATAAAATCAATTGTGGTAGATTTTCACAGAAACTGTTTGCATAAATCGATTACGATTAACAAAGCTAATCTGTAGTAAAACTGCTGTGTGCACGTAGGAGACAACAATTTTTCCACACCATAATTATAAAAACATAATTTCTTATTCTTTTAGGGTAATCAGATATTAGTAAATAAAAGTAATAACCAGTTACTGATCTTTTTTATTGTTCAAAACGGCCTATAAGAATTTCCTAGTTGACTCCACCTGAATTGATGGGTGCATGCGTTTGTACTTGGAAGCTCCGCAACCTTCTGCAGTAACTCGATATCACTTGAGTTGTTTGGTTACAATATCCTGTAACGAGCACAATGCTTCCTTTTCTAAAGCCAATTGCGACATTTACCCAGATACTCATGATATATTTTATTGTGTCCAATTTTGTTTTTTTATTTAAAATGTGTCTAATAAAATGGGGAAAAAATGAAAAAAAATCCTCGTGGAAATCCGGAAAAACGGTGTCGTTTATAAACAACAGTAGTAGAATAAACTACTATTAGGTAAGCATGTAAACAGAAAACAGTTTCATTACAATCCTGTATTGTAATAATGACCTTTATGATAAAAGTAGTGAAATAATGCCTAAATATTTTTTATTCACATGGGAGTAGGTACAATATACTCGAAACTGTCTTTACAAAAAGTTGAATTTTGTAACCTGTATCAAACACTAAAATTAACCAAAATGGCGTTAAGCATTTTAACTAACCCTTTAATGTACGTTGAAGTTATTATACTTCAGCTCCAGATCTTCTGTGTTTAATTATAAAAGGCGTTGGTGGAAATGGCGGCACACAAAGCAGGAGAAAAAGTCAACTTGGAAGTAGCTCCTGATATTTTTAAAATTTTTCTTCTTATCGTTAAATTGAAGTTTTAGGACGCCGTTTTGGCATTTTTGTATACCAGATAAATTACGTTAAATTTTGCTCACCGTAGAACGTAAGTGACCGCAGGCGCACGAAAACAAGAATGGGAGATCACACTAGATGGCGCTGGAGGACGTGTATTTTATTTTTTCCTATCTATGAAGTAAGATACTAGTCTTAGAGAGCTTTTGACCATCGTGACTAAAGGCTGCAGGATTGCAAGTACTACATGTCTTCATTATCTTGAAGAGGCTATGCAGCGAAATACAATTAAAATCTTGATTAGTGTATCTTGCACCTTCCCTCACCTCTACATCCATCCACTATCGCGGCGTATATCTGATTCGTCATTCTACCGTCTGACATTCTTTCCAAATGTCCGAACCAACAATCCTCTGTTAATTTTAACTATATTGTCTCTCAGCTCTCCTTACTTCCATATTAGGAATGCAGCCTCCGAGCGACACTTGGTAAATTTTAAGGTAAAGTTCGCATCTCAACTACGTTTATTTTCTGTCACGCTCTTTCTGACAAACTCTCGCTTCCGTATTTTTAGCATTGGGACAAGGACTATTACTTTATAACATGTATACTATGCTGCTTTATCAAGAAATAAAAATAACAGATTCTTATTTAAGTTTCAGCAATAAAAATGTGACATTTCATATAGCAATTCAAGAAATATTTCAATATTCACACATGTGGGTAATTACAAATTGTCAAGTAAATTTTAGTCGTATATAAAACGACATCAAATATTTGAAAATTGTCTTAAATTCTTGTAAATATACAATTTTCCATCGTATCATAGTATAAATAAACAAGAGGAATTTTGCACAGCATTTAATCAAAACACAGCAATTTGTACATCAATTTTGCATCAACTTGTCAAAACAAAAGATGAAATGATTCACTGTTAGTTGGTTTAAATAAAATGTCATATAAGTAGCAATTTACTATTTTGCTTGAACTCCCAATCGGTATATGATTACAGTGGAATTATACGTTATAGTAAGACATAATTTTACCTTCTGCAAGTAAGTGTCATAAAAGCTAAAGTTAATGAGATACTTTATGCAGGCTACTACTCACACATTTTGGTTTAATCTTTTAACTCACACATTTTCAAATGTGTAATTGATATTTGTATATGTTTGGAAGTAGTCAGATTTATTATCCGTTTATTCAAATAGAAACTAAAGAAATACTTGGTTATCCCGTGGCAGGCCGTAATGCTAATTATGCTAATTTACATAATTATTTTGTAACACAAGCCCAAATTCACTTAATGTTTTTCGGTGTTCTTTGGTTACAATTAAATAGAATCATTTTTTATATATTACAAGTATAGGAAAACATTTAAAGTTATATGATTTTTTATATAGATATATATTTTTAATACTTGTTCCGCATCACTTTTATAGAACACTAGCGGCCCGCCCTCGCTTCGCTTCGGTGTAGAGCTAAAGTGTAGACTACAGTCTTTGTTCTCAGGCTTGTATTATACACAATGACATGCATCTATGATTCTTGTTATACCTTCATGTAAAGTCTCAGCTTGATCGGTTTAAAATTGACAAAGTTTCATACAAACTTTCATTTCCTATTTTATCCCCTTGGGGGTATAATTGATCAAAATCCTTTCTTAGCGGATGCCTACGTCATAACATCTACCTGCATGCCAAATTTCAGCCCGATCCGTCCAGTCGTTTGGGCTTGCGTTGATAGATTATGTCTCACTATGTCAGTCAGTCACCTTTGAGGTTTATATATATAGATAGATAGATTGTGGTACACAAAAATTACCCTTTTAAATTATTTTTCTCAATCACATTGAACTTGTATGTGTTTGTTTCTAATTACAAATTTATCTCGTAATTAGTTTTCATTCATTTGGTTTTTATACTAATTTGGCCTAGCTTATAAAATGTTATTCGGATTGAGATTTCATTTACTTTTACAAAATTGTTTGAAATCTAGTTTGAGAGTGCTTTTTTAACAATGTAAATTCAACAAGACGAGTAAATACAGAAGCAAGCGTAGTGAAGTGAATTAAATTGCCATACATATGGAAAGAATGATAAAAAATCTATGCGACATCCTCATTTCGGTTTCGTACCGCGAAGTGACAACTATGCTGAGACCGTTTTTCAAGAGGTTGGAGAACAATAATCATCCCTTACTTGGTCCAACTCTTTGGGGCTTAGCGAGATGGGGTATGTGGCAACCAAGACTTGGTATTAATACCAAAATATACTGCATACTGCATATTGTTGCAACATTATTTGTGATCAGCCAGTACGTCGAATTGTGGATCATAAGGTATGATTTTAATTTGGCATTGAGGAATCTTTCGGTCACCATGCTGAGCACCGTGTGTGTAGTCAAAGCTGGTACATTCGTCATTTGGCATGATCAATGGCAAGAAATTATTGAGTATGTGTCGAAATGTGAAAAACGACAATTATCTAAACGGGACAAGATCACCAGTGAAATTATTAATAATTATACTGTTTATTCGAGACGTGTTACCTATTTCTATTGGGCTTTGGTAGCAGCAACAGTTCTTACAGTTACTTTAGCTCCATTAGCTGCGTTTTGGTCGTCAAAGGAATATAGGGCACGCATCAGAGCTGAACAAATTCCATATCCAGAAATAATGAGTTCATGGCTACCTATCGATAGAACTAGAGGCATTGGGTACTGGCTGTCCATCGTAGAACACACCCTTATCTGCTTTTACGGAGGAGGTATTGTAGCAACTTACGACTCTAATGCCGTTGCACTTATGTCGTTTTTGGCTGGACAGTTGAAACTTTTGAGCACTAATTGTTCACGATTATTTGAAGAAAATTATGAAAGTGGAAATAATACGGTAGCAAAAATCAGAGAATATCATCACGATCATTTGCGGATGATAAAGTAAAGTATTCCATTTATTTATTTTTTATTTATCATTGAAAGAATATGATTTTCGTTTAAATATAAATGTTTTCAGATATTCCAAGATTTTAAATGGTGTATTATCACCAGTGATGTTTTTGTATGTAATCATTTGCTCGCTTATGATTTGTGCCAGTGCAATTCAAATAGCAACGGTAATATATTTTTACTTTTTATATCAAAAATCATAAGTTCATTATATTTAATATTAGATCAACTATCTCCAGTTTTTAACTATAATATATATTAGTTATCTATTTATAAATTTGCTGACGCTAGAAATAAAGCCTGGGATCTAGCAAAACACCTTATAATAATGCACTTTGTCTAAACACTTGCACTTAATGTTCACACAATACAAATTAAATTTCTACATTGTTTACACAAACACAAAAGCCTCTTAATATTTTTTAAAGATATAAAAATTATAAGTCCTACAAGTAAATCATAATAATTATTTTATAAAGGTACTAAGCTATCTAATCTTATTTCTAACTGAAATTATATTTGACAGAACGGTACGACAAGCATGCAAAGAATTTGGATCGCCGAATATCTCATGGCGCTTATAGTTCAGCTATTTCTGTATTGCTGGCATAGCAACGAGGTGTTGATAATGGTAAGGATGTAGGTTGAATTAAGGGAATCCTTTATCAAATAGGAATATATTTTATTTCGTGGACTATTTTCATTTGAATATTAACTGCATATTATCTTGAATTTTTATTGCATTTATTTTTATGATTATAATTTGAAATCTATTGTAAATAAAAAAATAATAATATTTGAAATCTGTTTTTTCAGTAACAATTTTGTAGATGTAATTTGAAGTTGAAAGAGTGGTGTGTTTTTTGCATTTTCACCTACCACCACCACATAACCGACTATAATTCCGAGAAATTGAAATATACAATTAATGTATTAAAGTGAAACTGTACAGACTTTCGATAATTTTGACTTTGATTTCTAATGCAGAGTCATAAGGTCGACGATGGCGTATATGCCAGTTCTTGGTGGTCCCAGAGTCAATCTGTACGGCGTTCCGTATTGCTGCTTGGGGGGCAACTGCGAAGGCCTATTGTCTTTACAGCTGGTCCATTCACTAAGCTTAATCTACCAACTTTTCTTGCTGTAAGTACAAACATACTTTACTGCTATACCTTTTTCCACAAAATTCGGAGTAGCAGCTCCACAGTGCTGAGCAATGGGTGCAAGTGCACACAAGTTCATCTCGAGCTCATCTTCAGACCGCGGCTATAATCAAAAGAGACCAATGGATTTTGTATCTGTGATAACCTATATGGGCACTTTTGATATGCAGTATTCCCCCATAATGTATGAGATAAATAGATAAGAATATTTTTTTATTGTCAGTATTAAAAATACTATTATAACTTATCACATTATTCAATCTCCGACACATTTTTTCAGATTTTGAAGGGGTCATACAGTTTTTACACTTTATTGATCAATAAAGAAGACTAATCAAAAAACAAAAGACCAGAGCGAACAGTTACCAAAAAGACATTTGAATTCAAAAGAAATGCAATCGAGTTTACAATGGTTTGTGCAACAATATCAAATTTGACCATTATTACGTGAATTATAAACTAAAATTTAAATAAATATTAAAATCTTGTATCCCGTATTTAATACAGGATATACTGCAATATAATATAACATGTAATATACCGAACTATGTTGGCTGAATAAACAAGTAGCTACAATAATGTTCTTTAATTTGGGATGTCATTGAAATAAAGTTTAGAACATTTGCATTATCATAGGTCAAATAAATAAAAATATAATCATGTATAACTATTTCCAATGTAAGGACACTTTTGAATTTAACATCCTTACATGAGGGTATCATATCATATTTATTTTTATTATAGACATTAATATGTCAATATCTGAAAATTATATTACAAATGAATTATTTTTAGTAAAATTTTCTTTTAGATTTGAACTTCAAGAAGTTACATGCTTAAAAAGTATAATAAGTAAATGAAATGATATTAAATCTTAATAAGAGAGTGCAATCAAATCACCATGTTTTTTATACGAGGCGCAACAAATTACCCCATGATCACACACATGATGTTAAGTGTAAGTGGAGTCTAGACGCGAAGATAGAAACTAAGATAGATATTATTAGAAATTAAAAAAATAATTAACATTTACAAATTATTATAAAACACAATGATTTTGATTGCGTCGTTATTAACACATTATACCGACAGATTTTGCGTGATAAGTGGCTATCTTGTTCTCATGCAAGATTCCGCTCTTGTACGATATTTTTGTAGGGTTTTTGTTTACTTTGTACGATATTTGTCCTTATGTTATAGATCCACAAATTTGTACGCATAATATCGGGATCAGCATTAATTTATGATAATTACTAACAGGTTGCTAATGATGCAGATTGCTATCAAAATTTGAATAGCTCAGTTAAAAATAAACAAGTATGAAACGTTATTAAGCGAACAAAAAAGTGGTGGGTATAGAAATTCCCTTAAATTTCAAATGAACCGTATCTTTTTGGTGAGACTAGGCTTAAGTTATAAAATGTCAATATCCAAACGGTTATAGTTTGACCCTTTGAAAAGGTCACCGAGGGATATCTTATCTTGCAGACTGACAAAACGTAATCGTTTAAAGGGAACTCACGTGATTTTATTACTACCAGACCACACAGAAAGTATTGCGAAAAAAAGTTTTTATGTACACGTACGTTCGTTTATAGTTTGTTGATTACACGCTAGATTCCAATTTCGGAAATTAAAACTGACGAGGCACTTTTAATTTCGATCAGACCCGCTGCAGATTTCAATTACTTTTTGCGAAGAGTATAGGTGGGTGTAGGTACAGTCATCTTCATATAGATAATAGTGTAAAAACTCGAAGGAGGAGCTGATCAAGATAACAAAGAACGATTTTTTAATATTTTGAAATTTGGAAAGAACTTTTTTAAGCATGTATTTTATGCGAGAGGAATTACTTTCATGAGAACCAAATGAATATTTCAGGAATAAATGAAAAGTTAAAGAAAATATTATCAGAAAAAAAATCACGTGGATCAGGCAGCAGACGGAACTCTTCGCTAGCCGGGCGAATGCACTGACTATTATGCTACCGCGGCCCTAATGGCCGAATCGAATTCTTTCTAGCCATTCTTGCAAGGCAGCGCCATCTTTTCACGTTGAAGATAACCCACAATGTCAAATGAAAACCTTTACAAATATCAAACATTTTCTTTTTTTCTAAAAAAAGAGTTGAAATATATATTTATACCTCATTAGGGTATTTTGAAGAGATTTTCAATTTTATAGTATGATTAAGAATTTAGACAATTATTCATTTTTTGTTTACAAAAGTGATGGGTTAAGAGAATAAATATTAATAATTTTATTAATTGTTTTTTGAAAGCCTTGAAAGCTGTTTTAAAATTTAGTTGTGGACAAATTCTGTTGTTTCTGCGTGTAACAATTTGTGACGGGATGTATGTAAGTGTTTTGTGTCGTTCAAGAATAGTTTGTAAAACAAATAATTGTCTTACAGTGAGCACATCACATTGTGTGTACAACACTCGCGTTGAGAAACGATACGGCTTGTATGCCATAACCTTCAGCAAAACTCTTTGTGCTCTCCTACCGTGATCATATTGTTTTTATTTGCACCACTGTGAATGTGAATGATTGAGATTTTGAAAATAGCAGGAAATCCTCCATTGTCTAAGCATAAATTAACGATGTGTGTGATTGAAGGGATAATGTTTTAGTAATTAGTAATGTATTGGATATCCCATCCCATCCCGTTGCAATGTCGTTTTTAAGGTTACGGATGATGATCATTATTTAGTCTTCGGTGGTTTCAAACAGAACCACGGCGTGGAAAGAGGAAAAAATCGCATTGGAATAATCGAATCGAATTTCTGTTTGACTGCAGTCATCGCTTTTTGTTAATGACCTCGCACATCTATCCGCACCGCAATCACTGCAGTGATTCGTTCCCGTCGCTACACGCATCGCACTTGATTTTTTTCATTCAGTTTGTAATATAAATTAAGAGTATGGCTCTTGACGAAAAATTTGTTGTCAGTTCTTTATTATTAGAGGAAGAAGAAAAGCCGTGTATGCGAATGACGTCATCCGCGCCGCGCTAGCCGCAGCGTCCGCTGCGTGCGGGCCGGCGTTGGTGACATCATCAGCTGCGGCGTGGGGAGTTCGGTCGTTTCAGGGACTGCGGCGACTGCGACGCGGGTGTGTGTATGAGGTTGCATAGAACCTCATAAAAGGATTCGAATGCGAAGACTGCGGCACGTGCGGTGCGGCCAAGTCTGCGTTCACCTTTATATGTAGAACACATACCTTTGCTAAGATTGTACAATGCTTAGCAAATTTCTTAAATTTATTTAATTATTTTATTAGACAGAAATAAACTTAATCTTGAACAAAAAGGACGTTTATCTACTCCGCATCCCTTCTGACAATCAAGATATTTTTAAATTAGGAGTGGGCGATATAAATCGTATATAGATATTGAAACGTATATTGCATCAATATCGTCAAATCCGATATCAATGCGTTCTGAAACTATATATTGTGGCAAAACACTATACTGCATCAGGAACGTGATACGCGTTAATAGAGTCTGTGCGGAAAGAGAATGAGATTTATATTGGAGGGCGCTGTAGTACTTTTCTACCGTATTTGTAAGGTTTTACCCCCTTTAGACATAATTAAATACACAAAATCGGAAGAAATCACAACAACAAACAAATCCGTATTAATACAAAACTTTGACGTTTTACAGATTGCTGGGTTTCATTGCCAAATAAAAATCTTAATGTTAGTTCCGTTTTTCGCCATGCCCATTCTCTTTCCGCACAGACTCTACTACTGTATTGCATGGAAACTGTTTAAAGTATATTAAACCTATATTATCACAATGGAATATGAGCGTGACCAATACTAAGCGAGAGTAGAAGGAGAGCGTTTCATAAAATGAGAGTGAAATAGTAACGTTACGATGCAACATGGATTCACCGCTTTTTCCACTTTAATTAAAATTGTTTTATAAACTTTATTTAACATTTTTGTTGATAAAACCTGAACCTTATTTCTTACGAAATAATGGAGAGCTTTGTTTATCATGATTTAATTTTTACTCTGGTTGACCTTTGTCCTTGAACCAGTAAACAAATGAAAATATGGTGTGGATTTTGATTTTTATTATTTCGTAAAAAGATTCGATCGTGCAAACAAATGCATTACCGTTTTATTTTGTAGTAGCCGACCCAGCGTACTTCGTACTGCTTGCAATAATTTGATTTATATGGACAAATGAAATTGTATTTTTTACTATCTTCCTCGCAATTATTCGATTATTTCTCACCTTTTAAATCTTCCCTAGACCTCCACGAACATTTCAAGACCAAGATAAGATAAATCCGTTCAGCCGTTCTCGAGTTTTAGCGAGACTAAGGAACAGCAATTGATTTATATATATAAACCGTGTTCCTGAGGTTATGGTATGACAGTATATAGGTTATGACACGAACTTTGGCATGTTATTCAGACTATTAAATTGATCATTTTTTACTATTGACACTTTTATGAATTCCAATTTTTTTATCATTTTTTGTTTTCATACAAACTGAGATATTTAGATGTAATATGAATTACTCTTTACCTGAGCTGGCAACGTCGCATTTGAAACCTTGGTTCACACGTCCACATAAACTTTTTGAAACTTTTCTTGACGTCAACAATGTTTTTTAAAATTTTGACTTTTGAAACTATGACTTAATGACCATTGACAAAGAGTTGATAGTATGATATTTTTGGTTGCACAAAGTGGCAACATCTCACAGATAAAGACTCATTGTCACTGAACAACAAAATTAAGTTGGTTAAACTTAAATTACCAATAACTTAAAAACTATGCTATTTAAACTACTACTTTCTTTGTACGATATGTTCAACAAGAGCTATAGAAGTATTATCTAAAGTTTATGTATATGCTCAGGAACACGGTGTATATAGATTGTAGGTGAATTATTTGTCTTCTGGGTTATTAACTCATTTTGGTAGGAAGTAGTTTTATGGGATAATTAAATGTAGTCAAGTAAGTGTGTAAAATAAAACTTCTAATTTATATTTTTTATATCAAACTTTTTTTCGTACAAATAAACTACATTACTCCCTTAAATACATGGATAAACACCTACTGCGTTATTTAACATAATGGTTTTTATCAGTATCAGAGAAATATAGTTTTACATATTCTGTAATAACTTAATGATTGATAATGGTCGTCAACAATATCACCGATATCAATATACATAGTTTCAGAAACCGATAAATAGTTTCGATTTGATTCAGAAACAATCTATTAAAAATTAAGAGCTGAAGCTTTCTTTTTGCGATAAAACCCTATTTTATTCGTTTTATCTCAGTGCTACAACTTATTTAAAATTA